CTTCCTTAGGGGACAGATTCAATCATTCCCTCATCGACTAGCGGTCGGTTTCATGTTGTTTCCACTACCCATATTCTGTTCTCCGCTAGAACGCCACTACGCTATAGAGATTTTTTTGTATAATATATAAGATACATGTAGCAAAATTTTCAACCGCCTCAAGTATATTAGTTATTATTGAATTTTTGGAGAAAAGGTCAAAGTTGCCATTCTGTATTTTTTTCTTATTCTGCCCTGTATTGTAATAAAATAATTCAAATGATGCATATTATACCATTATAACGTATAATCACCAAGGTAGTCAAAATATTTTTTCTTGCAAAAATTATTTTTCGTAATACATTTGTAAAGTGAAGCTGAAACAACACAAAATATGGCTTACATGTTATAAAATACTCTTATCACCTTGACAGTTCTTATTATACGTTTTTGCTTTATAAGAAATTTTGATAAAATTCTAAGGGCGGATTTCACAATTTAACAAACCATTATTCTGCACCAATGGGATACGAGTATCAGTCTCAAGATCTCTCCGTCAATTTGGCAACAAATAGCATCGAAGTATTCAAAACAAAACACTGTAAAATATGAAGTGACAGCTTGCAATTGAAATGTTTTCAGTTTATTAAATATTATGAAATTATATAAAACTGAGCCAAAATTTATAAAAAAATTCTTGATGACTGAGTGAAATACATTTTTTTCAGTTTAGCTGAAGGTTTCTCCATGTTTTTTGCAACTTTTGCAATCCATATGTGATTATATTAACTCAACATCACCTACTGGGTGTTAATAGTTTATCCTACATTTGCAAACTTGCACCTTCAAATTCTTACATGAAAGCCTTTTCACTCAAATTTTTGTTAGGTGCTGCGTTTCAACACATTCATATACTTCTTTCCAATTCCCCAACGACATTTTGACACCACTGGTCCGAAACTGTTCAAGATTTCATTCATACATTCAATTGCAGCTGCAGTTTTTTGTTTTGATTTCAGTGTATCAGTCGCACCATCGGTGATGGTACATGGTACACTCAACATAACTACGTATTTGGAGGTTAGTGCAGATTTAACTGTACACGACGGTGTAATATGTAATTCTGCACAAGAAAGATCTTGGAGGGAGCACTTCTTATACGGAAAATCCATTTTTTTAGAAATAACACAACAAGCTCAAAACCACAAGTGACAAATGACCACAAAACATAGACTACAGTAACGTCGGAGAAGGAGAATAGACCAAAGAAGAATTGACATTTGAAATTACTGTATCACAATGTTAGTGAAGGGAGAATACATTTGCAATCAGTGGAATGCATTGCAACGGTTAACAAATATGAATTGAATCGTCTTTACGTTATCTCGACTGACAGACTGGAATATCTACTCTGTTTCTGTACATATATTTTTGTGGTATTGTTGCAAAAAAGTAGTTTGTTCACAAACCAATTCCTAGAACTGAACGCAACTGAATGAAACCAACTAGAAAGCATATCACTATCTCAAGTAATCCAAGGAGCGACAAATTGTCATTTCATCACACTAGCGATGGGAGAATCGAAAGCCTGAGATTCGCTTTGCTTCTGTGGCTCAGAGAAAGGGTGTTTTCTTCTGATAAAACTAGCGCAGTTTTTGTGTTTAAAATACTCTACCTTAGTTAATACCTTTGATCCTAAAGTTGCTCCCAAAACAACATTAAACAACTCACATGTGTCGCGTGCAGTAATCTGTCAATGAAGCATATTTTTCGTTTCTTTGTCCTTTTCCGTGTTACTATGATGAAGCACCGAAAAAAATAATAGTAAAATACGAGCAAATAACACGGCTGCATTCAAAGATGGAAATCGAAGCAGAAGACAATAGACAACACCAGCCCGAGTTGCTTCAAGTTCTGTATGTTTCTACACTGAGTGAAAAACTAGTTCAGAATGCGCAGCAAAAAAACATGAATATATAAATTGGTTCTGTCATAAGAATTTGGAATATGCACCAGCCCTACACTGGCTTCACTGAAAGAAAACGCGATTGAATAGCTTGGTAATATTTAACAGTTTAGACCACACAAGGCTGATTTCATTAGCTTCTATTTTGGCCACTTTCTCAGTTATAATCTCATCTCACTTCAAGTTGCCTCACATGTCAGAGATTTTCCACCTGCTTCCGAAAGATTTTTGACTCGCTTGACTGTTGGCTATGTTTATATATTTTCTGGATATTTTCAAATCTTTCAAAGATTTTTCAGACCTTTGGACGTTCTAAAAATTCATCGATCCCAATAAAACATGTTCATACAACACTTAAACCTGATTTCGACAGATGTTTCATGCGTGTCAGATGGAATTCTTATTTGACTGTTCCTTAGTTCCATTTGGTACATGACAAAAATCAATTTCCCCACTTGCAGTGTGCTGAGTCATTCAGTTATTTTCGTGCACCGATCAGTATGAATAAGATGTCCCATCACTATCCTAGTCGCGACTGAGTGACGTGTCATCTGGACAAAACAACACTGTTGCCAAGCATAGCGATTTTCTGTATACTTTAGCGACTTTTTTCTCCACTTGTCCGCTGGCGATTTCCAGCAATATTTCCGCATTCCGCATTCCCATTGGCTGAAGAGATAATCGACCTATTATTTGTAAATTGATACGAACTAGCAAAATACATGAAAGTTGTTCTGTTTTCTCTATATAAAAGCATCATGTTGGAATCAAAAAGTATTCTTGTTGATAATTGAATCGCATTTTCACGATTTTATTCAGTATCTCAATAGAAATCACTGATAATCAGGGAGCTTTGACAACTTCCGTCAAATTGCATTTCAATTCTTTTCCTATTGGTCCAACTGACCGTCAAATGTATCTTATATTTTAGTTATTAGCATCCCTACTATGTAAGATGGTTTATAATTTTCAACTATCCGAGGTCGGTTAAATTGAGGCAAGAATGTAGATTCCAGTGCTTAGCCATACCTCGTTTTGAAATTAAACAAAAAACACGTACCGGACTTGTCCGAAAAAATGGATACCTTCTTCGTAATAATAAATGCTTTTTTATCTTTATAAACTTTTTTTTTGTTTTATCATTTTTATGTATAGCTCTTATTATGACGCTGATAATGATAACTAAATAATAGTTTTTAAGGTACCACCTGAGTGCAACATGATCTAGCCAGCGATAACATTCGAAAAAAAATATTAATAAGTTGAAATTATAAATGTTTCACAGAGCGCTAATAAATCAATTTTATTGATGTTCCCAAACTAATAAACTCCGATAATACCAGTATAAATCTATCATGAAACATTAATTTGTCTAGTAACCTTAAATGGGGTATGGAATGCCTTAGTGGCATTTTATTGCACGGAAAATTATAAAATATATTTGCTGTTGATTTTAATTCTCTTTGTTTCTAGGCAATCGAAACTATGACATAATCTGCTAGAAAAAAGTTTCCTCAGTTTCATCATTCAATTTGCTCACAGCTCTGTGGCTTAGGGCTTAGGTTCGTGACAAACAACCACAGTCTGAGAATGCCTTCTGATATAATGCCAAAGATAACAAGATATGCTAAACCCTACTCAGTGACAATTCCACACAGGAGTGAGAACAGCAAGTTAACCTCATAAGGAAACATATCTGTGCATATACAGATGGCTCCAAGACCGAGGTAGGTGTTGGAGCTGGTATCTTCGTGTCGAAGCTGAAGATTGAAGAATCTGTTAGCCTAAGGTACCTGGTCATCGATCTTCCATGCCGAGTTATATGCTATAGAACTGGGTGCCAGAATGACACTGAGACACAGAACTAAAACAATAAGTCCTCTCATATGGATACCAGGACACACATGTCTAGAGGGAAACGAGACAGCTGACACTCTGGCAATGAGTGAGGCTAGCACACTCTTCATAGGGCCTGAGCGAGCCATTCGGATCGCATACAATACGGCTAAACAAATAATCTATGCAGAGATAGACAGAAAGATCCATCAATACTGGGAGGGATTAGCAGGGTTAACCCATGCTAAGGCAACTATACCAATCTTGACAAAGAAGGTAACAGACTCTTTGCTATGGCTGAACAGGAATAGCCTTAAAGCTCTAGTGGAACTGTACACTGGACATTGCAAATTGCGTCACCACATGAGCAGGTTGGGCATGGCGGAAGACGCTGAGTGCAGACTGTGCATGGAGGGAGATGAAACGTTCAGGTATGTATTGTGCAGATGACCTGGAATTCCTAGAATCAGATACAACATACTTGGAGACGTAGTTCTCCAAGCAGAAGCCCAGGAGGATATTTCTTCAAACAAGTTAATCGACTTCCTCAAGAGTTCGGAGCTACTGGGGGAAATATAAATAGGTGTGAGCCACAATCTTGACCATAAAACTTCCATAGTTACTTTTAAAACTTCGTTTTCTGATATTAGGTGTCCTACGAATTGATTCAGTATTGAACTCAAATCATATTTCTCTAAGCTTTGACATATATATTAATAGAAGCCTTCAAAAGCGCTGTGTCTGAAAGTCAATAAACAGGCCACATACTTCGCATGGATAATAGCATTGTCTCTAGAGGAGCTCATTAAAGTCTGCAAAGAACGATCCAGCGAAACTATAAATAAAATGCTTTACGTGGAGACGTTAACTGAAAGTTTAATTTCGTCTGTAATTGGATAGTTTCCAGGCAATAACTTCACTTCAAAAGAAAAGTAATTTTCTCGAGCAACATTCAGCAAATATTTGTTGAAGTTCCGCCCGCTTTGCCACATTTCGCGGCAAAAAATATCGAAGTATAAAAATTGAAGTTTGCGGCTCTCGAGTCGCGTTGCAAGAAAAAAATCTTTAAATACTATATGTACCAATATCTTGACATACTTAATGCATAAGTGTGCCCAAGGATGTTTCTACCTCCTGTCCAATTCGCAACCTGTATGTTGACTCATGTGGAGCTTAGAGCATTAGGCTGACACTACAAGTACATCTAAAACTCGATAGACCTTGATGTATCAGGTAACCAGGTGTTTCAAGATGACACTGTCAAAACGAAGGTAGTTTTACACAGATAAATCGAATATATAAAACAAGAATGGAAAACCAGAAGCAAATATCGTGAGTTTCAGTATTAACCAAGGCCTATACCTTCTTCTCTTTATTTTTCATTCTAAAACGTCTTCTTTTATTATAGAATCAGCCAAATTCAGTGTAAAATATACCTTTTTTGTCTTCAATACATTTTTGGTATTATAATAGTCACAGAGGTATTTTAGATAATTTATTCGATCCCACTAACTGAAGATCCAAACATCCTATAAGTAGAGCCATGTATATTTCAGTGATTTGGATGCCCTGATGCATATCCTCAAAGCGGCATTAGGGACAGGGATATACGCAATGCCAGTAGCATTTTACAGCGCTGGACTATTTTTGAGCGTGGGCTTAACAGTTCTTACAGGAATTATATGTACGCACTGTGCTACTTTGCTGGTAAGACATTTTTAAATGTTTATGTTTGCTCATTACAGATTCAAATTATTCCGAAAATCTATATCTTAAGACTAAGTTAAATGAAATTGCTGCAACTCTAGTTTCAAGTGATCATCAGCTACCAAAATCAAACATAAACTGCATTTGAATCATGGGTGATGGAGACATTATAAATCTGGACCTATATATTTTGTTCAAAAAAAGGCGAAGGGAAAAAGTGTACAGCGATCTTTTTTAATTGAGTTTACTATTTGGTTTATGTCACTTAGGTTAAGTCATCTCTGACGATTACTGAGAAAACGGAGAAAACAAAGCTGACTTATCCGGATATTTCTGAATGTGCTTGTGAGTTGGGACCTGAGTGGGCCCATAAAATGGCTCGTGGATTCAGGTAATATTTTCATTTATCGGAGACGAAATGATGGTTAGAGGGCACTACTCTATTCCTCAGAATCTATAAGGTGTTCTAATGCTCTGCACAAGTATAACACAAGTCCATACATTTCTATGATATATTCCAATATGCTTGTTTCAGAAAGCACCAATCATAACGTTTACATTTTTTTTTGCCGAAGAGTTAACATTTTGTTTGACGGCTGCCTAAAATCTCTAAAATCGTCCATCCAGACCTCCAAAAAGAGCAAGATTTTGACGATAGGTGCCAAAGAATCGAATAGAAGATCAAATAATCATTTTTTTAAGATGCCAAATAAATCCATAATATCGAAGAATTGGGTTTTTATAGTGGTCACATTAATAGTGCTTCTCAAAAAGGACACTCCAGTGCCCCACCCACCCTCAGGCATATATTTGTTGAACAGAACAAGTTGGCAGGCAGTCTTAAAGGCTTTGGAGCCCCATGATTTGTGAACTAGTAACGGTAGGAAAAACAAGGTCCTGCAATTGAAAGGAGCTTACTGCCAGCTATCCAATTATGACCTTGATTTTTACCTTGACCATCACCTTATAGGGCATTTGAGGTCAAGTGCCTTCAAATATGGCCTTGACCATTCATATTTTTTCCTTGATATCCAAAGGTGACCTTGGATCTGACCTTGACCATTTCTTTTAAGGTCATTTGAAGGTCAGCTCGTTTTTAATGGTATCTGTATACTTATGACCACAAAAATCTGGACAAAAAAGGAGAAAAAGGCACAATTTATGTTCAAGTATGTCCTTAACTATATTTATAACTAGAACTTGGACTTGACCGTCAAGAACAAACCCAAGCCTACTTTAATTTCTTGATAATTCAGAAAACCTTGTAATCCGCAGATAGATTGGTTTGACTGTACTTTCAGGATAGTTTCCTGGTTACAAGAATCGACTTGACAATCACATGACCTTGAAGGTCATGTTGGTTGAGGTTATATCCAAGGCTATCATTGGATTTCCGGGAAAAAATCATGAAAATAATGTCTTGGTAGTTTCTCTATACGACTACTGGCTTTCAAGATATATCACCGTATCTTTGACCTTGACCATGACCTCCTAAAGTCAAAAATCAAGAAAGTCAAGACCATATTTGAAAATAAAATTATTCGCTTTTCGTTTTGTGAAATCTGTTTTTTATACCATCATTGGTTCACAAACTATCGTGAGATTCCGGAATTTTGCAGACACCCTAAGAAAGTCAACATAAAAATCACAGTTGTGAGGTTCGAAGTGGCGGATGGACGACGTCTTGGAAAATGATTTCGAATATAATAGGGCGCTGTGTGATACCTCATCAGTTTCTACTACCACTAAAATGGTGCGCTCGTGGGCTATCAAAGTTGAGCGTTGCTGTACATTGAATCGCATATACATTATGAAAAAATTATACTATGTTATCTGAATCATCTTATTTTGAAAGGGTCTGTTTGAATGCACAATAAAATATGGGACATTTGGTTAAAGAAATCACAGATTTTGATATTTTTAATTATTGAATGTTCCATTTGCACATTCGATAGATTCTTCCAAGAAAAATATATTGATATAACATACTATAACTTGTTGATAATTGGTTGTATAGCTTACAACTACAACGGCATTATTCTCACAGAATATCCTAGTTCGATTGTATTATGCATTCTTGTGGCTCAAAATTGGTCAATTTAAACAAAATAAGCGTAAGAGTGAGTGGGCATCCAGATCTCATCCTTGTATGTACTCACGAATAGTGCACAGGTGGTCATACCGAATCCCCAGCAGCCAATATATAGCAAGGTGCCGAACCAGGTGATATACCTACGAGGGAAGGTTCATATTGTGCCATAGGCGATTGTAATTGGGATATCGTTTTCCAGCCAAAAGGCTATAAATTGAGTTCCTGTTAAGCAGAACAACGCTAGGGTCGTACGGCGTGGACCGCCAACCGGTCACGGCATGTTATTCTGAAGAGCGATGGCTTGACATGCACCAAAGGCAGTTCGAGGTTGCAGTCTGTATATCTAGTTATTGTTCAATCCTGCGGTGCCGTAGTAACGGAAGGGTGGGAATCACCCTTCAATTCCTCCCACGCTTCCAAAGCGGATACACAAGGTCCCGGAAAAACTACTTAAACTGGTACATTATTGTGACTGGTGGCTCTCATGGCGATTCGGTACGCAGGATAGGTTCCTTTATGGTTTAGCTCTAAGGACTGTATTATATGAACGATTATACTGCTATAGTATATTATTAAATTTTAAAGATAGTTTTCCATTGAAATGATGAAAAGAAATCCGTGTCCCCTTTATTAGTAAACAAACACCTTGGATGATCGGGTGAAGGGTTACATTCAGACACGCTGTGCCCATCACAAGTTTTAAGCAGTCCAATGTACAAACATGCTCAACGGAGATGGCCTACAATTTTTTGAAGGTCACTGACATGGCGTTATGATAATGCATGAATGTTTGCTATTTTCTAGGATTCTGACGTTGGTATGCCTGTTCGTCTCATACTACCTGACGTTAAGCTGTTACGCCGTGATATCAGCGAGATCGTTTTACTACGTTGTCCGTGTACATGTACCAGAAATCCCACCTATAAGAATTGGTATTGCTGCTTTGATAATCCCAATGATTCTCCTGGTTAGTAGTATGAGTATCAATAATGTTACTTTATTTGCAACATCTCAAATTACTTAACTATTACTACCTTATCCATAATTTGCCCGACATCGCCACCTATAAAGGAATGGGGTCACAGTTTTATAGACGTTTGAGGAATAATATCTTTTTGTATTCTAGGTGCACAATGAATCGTTATTGAGGAAAATTCAAGGGAGGGCTTAACAGCTATCATTACAGGTTACAAGGGTGTATAAAATAGTACCTCAAATGCGTTAAAGTATAAAGCCCACTTTTCTGATATTCTCTCCAGAATGATTTTAAAAATGGGATCATCCATGCTAGATGCTTATGGATCTTTGCATTTTCCGAATGATGAACGAGAGTGCCGTATCTGGTACACTAAAAAATGGACAGATCACATCATACTCGCTTGTCGTTTTGGGGGCTAAGCGTCATTTGGGTGACGGGCGGCCAGCATAGACCAGGCGGTCCTGGTCTATGCTGGGTTTGCATGGTGCAATTTGGAATTATTTTGCGGACCTTTCAGACGATTGTAGTAACACACTGTTGAGGAATCTTAAAATGAAAAGGAAAAAGAAACGAAGTGTCACCTGCAAGGCAGATAAAGAATATATTGTAACAGTATTGTTAGACTTCTAAAGGGCCATTTGACACTATAGATAGGAAAACGTTGTTAATGAAATTGCGTCACTATGGCTTTAAAGGATTAGTATTACACATTTTACACAAATTATTTAGTAAATAGAAGTCAGACAACTAAAGTTGGAAATATTATGTCAGGCGTTCAAAATATATTAGTAGGAGTGCCACAGGGGAGTAAATTAGGGCCGTTACTATTTATTATTTATATAAATGATATCTCTGACATTTTAGAACACTGCAAAATTCAAATCTTTGCTGATAATATACTTATATATATAGCACATAAGCATTTGGACACTGCTTTAGAACTGTTGAATAGTGATATTGAAACAATTATGAATTGGTTAAATATCAATAAACTTAAATTAAACGCTAATAAAACAAAATGTATGTCAATAGGGAAACACTTGATTCATGATGAAAAAATTGAAGTAGTCGAGTCATTTAAATATTTTGGTATATAAGTGGATACAGTATATTCAGATAAGAGATAGACCGGACATAAACAAGACCACGTGATCATCGAACGCTGTAACATTCGGCAGGGACGTATTAAGAGTCACGCAGTACATATTTTAGATAGTAGATGCTGCTTTGCGTAACTTTGTAGTAAATTAGCACAATTCGATGTGTATACGATTGGTGATGGATATAGGATCAGGTGGGGGTGGGGTAAGAAATATATAATGATGTAAATATACATAAGAGTTTCAAAATTTTCGCTTCGATTTCCAGCTTCGGATGCCGCCTGATGTTTGGTGAAATACAGTCGAATATAATCTCAAAATGGCGTTTAAATTAGCCTAAATTAAAAATAATCGTATATCTCTTAAAATTGCTTTTAGAATATTGATTAGTATATTTTTTGATTTCTAGGTAAATATGTAACCAAATTAAAACGTTCAAAACGTAAAAAAATGTGCATGGTTGAACATTGTCAGAAAGTAGATTCTTGAATAGGTTTTGGCAAAATGGGTTCAAAAATGTCAATAATTAATTAAAAAATACAGTAGCTTTATAATTACTTATAACTTACCGAATTTGATGAACGACATCTTTTATTGGAAAGATGAGCTTGATGAGCTTTCATCATCGCTACTGCCTGAAGCACCAACGTCAATAATGAATGGCTCGACTTGTTCCTCTAAAATATTGTCCAGTTCCCACATTCTCTTTTCAACTTTGTCTTTCACGTGCTTAATACAGTTTTCCCATTTTTGCGCTGTTATTAATTCTAGTGCTTCTTTGAAAAGTCCTTTGAGGTCACAAAATTTAAAAGTTGTATTGTGCTTAGCTATATAATTTTTAACCTCTGCCCATATGAGCTCAATGGGATTGAGCTCGCAATGGTATGGAGATAAACGGAGCACAATTTTATTTTGACTTGCTGCCATTTCGTCAATGGCGTATTTTTGATATTCCGCCTTGTGATCCTTGACAATTCTTAATAATTGTACTTTCAGCACTGCTTCTTCAAAGTTGATATTTTTCGAGCGGAGCCAATTTTGAACATCAACTTTCCTTGAAGCCGTTGTTGGGACCTTCTCCATTCTTCGAGAATGATAATGAATCCAACACAATTACTGCGTTTTCCTCTAAGTTCGGTAAAATTTTTGAAAACCACTGTTCAAACGATTCGCCATTCATTTCCTCGTGGTAATCTCCAGTTTTCTTAGACTCAAAGCACCACAGACCGTCAATAACAAATCCATCCTCACTGACAATATGGCAGATAATGAGCCTTTTCCCTTTACCTGGAAATCGAAGTACTAACTGGTGTAGATTTATTTCAATAAGCGAACCTTTTTCAAATGTTTTCATCACATTCAGCGAAAAAACATTGAGACATGAGTATCAGATTGCTATAATTGGGATTATTTAGTCATATTGAAAGAAAGAATATTGAACGTCGTATGATTACTCAGCGCTTCACAATTTAATTTAAAGTTATAAACCTTTAAAAAATGAATGATCAGGAACCTGAAATACGCGCAAATATTAATATTAACAAATTATAACTTTATAAAGCTTAAAGTATGAATTAAAATGATTAGAAATATTAGGAACGATACACAATATAAAACTTAGTAACTTTTTTTAAGTATATAATATTCGACATATTTTAAGATTATATTAAAAAATTATTGAAATATCGAAAACACATAAAAACATGGCTTAAAAAAGTTCTAACAAATGAAAATGACAATAAAACATCCACGCATTTTATCGAAAGTTTTGTTACTTGTAATATGTTTTATCTGCCCCCTGGAATTAATATTTAGAACCTTGTACCCAAGGTTTGAAAAACATCCGATTGTTGTCTATTACTCGTATTTACCTGCTGGATTTTTTAATCCGGTGGACAGTCCATCTAGAAAGGCCCTCCTGGATGAAGTTACAGAATCATCAACCCATACTTTACTTGTAGTGTGTCCTGCGTTTACCCACGTTTCATCAAGGTAATAAATCTTCCTGTTTTGATTTCTATATTTCCCAATTTTTGTTAAATAATCCCTCCTCCATAGCACAATTTCTTCTCTATCCAGTAGTAAACTATTACGATCCCGTTTTTTCCATTTGAAATTTAAATGCTTCAGTAACGCATGGAAAGTTGATCGTTTGAAATTTGGCAACGTTGTATCTCCATTTACCTCCTGCAGTACTTTATCTATAGTAGGTATTTCATTCCTAAAGAAGAATTCATGCACTTTCCTCCTAATCGCATGCTTATCAGCTTCATCCAATGATTTAACAATACTTTTGAGATGTTTACTGGTCATTGGCTCAGAAAAGGTGTGATTTTTTTTGTATTGTCTTAACACATTAAACACTGATGCGCGACACACCCCAACTTTATGAGAAACCTTCACAACAATTTCTTTGATGGTTGATGCCACGTTCTCCTCGCGCTCGATCTTATATATATTCAAAATGACCTCTTTCATTTCTGCACTCAGGTGTCTTTTTTTAGAGCGTTTCCTAGGTGGACTACAGGAGTTTACAACTTCATTGGCAGTATCTGTACTACTGGGCATTTTGCGCAAGCAGTTGATAACAATAACAATCAATAACAAGGTATAACAATAACAACGACAAACTCAACAACTTAATAAGATAACAAACGAAAACGTCCAAAGAAATATCAAATTGCAATGATGCACACGACATACGTAACACGTCTGAACCTGAATGTGACTCTGCCTTGATACGACTGCTCTGCCGCTCGGCATAGGCATTTAACATAATTGCGAATTGACCAATGAGGGCTCCTGTTTTACGTCGAGACGGCGGCGTTAGCGTGAAAATCACCCGAACCTTTTGTTTATATCCGGTCTATCTCTTATCTGAATATACTGTAGTAAGCTACTGTTTCATGAACATTATGAATACATTATTTAAAAAATATCGAAAAAGATAAATTACTTCTAAAGAGTTTCCCATAATCTTAGTATGTATTCCAAAAAAAAGTGTATAACACTGTAATTCTTCCCCATTTTTTATATTGTTCAACCATCTTGTTTACAGCAAATGAAAACATATTTTCAAAATTACAAATTCTACAAAATAAAGCTATGAGAATCATTTTAAATGACAACAAATATGCCAGGATTAAGTCTATGTTAGAAGAACTGCAGTGGTTGGATGTGAAAAAGTTCATATATTATTTAGATCTCGTTTTCATATTCAAATTAAAAAATCATTTATTACCACCACATTTAGAGAACTTCACAAAATTAGATGGTTATCATAACTACGAAACTAGAGGCAGTATATATTTTCATCTGCAAAATTATAATATAGTAGCATAACTAGTAAATCTATATTTCAAAGGGGAGTATTTGAATTTAATAAATTGAATAATGATATTAAGCACAGTTCGAATTAAAAAATGTTTAAGGTGAAATTAAAAAATCACGTAATCACGTAATCTTAATACACAAGAATGTAAAATTACAGAAAGTGGATTGAAGAAAGCTATGTAACCGAATCATTATACAAAATTGACATTGTAGCACTAATGCTAAATAAATCTTCAACAACAACAAAGAAAGGTGTCATGCACTGAAGGTCACGGTTGTGGCCGAAACGTCTTATTCCTACCACATTAAAGGGGAATTGCAAATATATGTTGTTTCATTGATCAAAGGGTGTAACAGATATTCGTATATTTTTATAATATATTATTATATTATATCATTACATTATGATATTATTTAAAAAGAAATGCTGTTGGATATAGAAATAACTTCATCACTGCTAATCCGGTCCATGGCTTTATCGTTGTTAGCATTGCCTGCTCCGTCAGTCTATGTAACAATTTAACAAATTTAATACAATTATAAATAATTACATAACTTTATATAATAATTTTACATAATAGTTACATACCTGATAAAGGTTTTAGAGAATCACTAGCATAATTTTGTATGTGATCTCCTTGAAAACAATCAAAATAGTATTATCATTTTTCATATGCAATAATAGTTGACAGATCATTTTTTTAGAAACCCGACCAATTGAAAGTGCTTATAATACAGTATAGCGACAGTCAACGCGGTCAAAGATTGCAGTGGACCATCCTCATGCATAAATATATAAATATACTGCCTCGCGCTGGCACGTACGGCAGACTTGCTATGTGTCCGGCACAATGTAAAAACCATTAAAACTGAAGTAACACCTTTTGAAAGTCGCCCAAGCAACATAACATAGATTTCAGCTTTTATACCATGACGAAAGTTTAATTTAATTATTCCTGTACTGGGTCATGCACAAAGAAACTTTGACGTTTTATAAAATAAGGCCTTGCGGTCTCGGGATCTTACTATATCCATGAATTTTTCCATAGGTGTATATTCCTCACTACAAATACTTGACTCCTGTATCGATGGGTGCAAATGTGTTAGTCCTAGCTGCTTTACTGATCACCTACTACTACTTCTTCTGTGGTTTACCATCTCTTTCGGAAAGGGACGCTGCTGGTAGGGACTGGATCAGGTATCCAACATTCTTCAGCATCACGATATTTGGAATGATGTTCATAGGAGTGGTAAGAAAATGTAATTTAGGGGAATATGGGAAGGTGTCTTAAATCTTTTGACTCGCGCAGGGTTAGTACGTAAAAAGACAAATGTCAACTTGCCAACTAGATTGCTCCTGATGTGCAAATAGTTCATTCTACTCTCGCTCGCTATGAGCTCTGATAGCGTCACCTATGGATGAATAACTCAACGATATACTCAATGATCATGCTGCACGTCAGTTCACCAGCATGCTTTGTTGGTTGCAGAATGCCGAGATAATATAGTATATCGCTGAGAAGATGTTGGGTAGCAGAGTAGCAAGATCGCATCTGTATGATTGCGTGGTGATTGTGTGTATTGCTAGCTCCAAGCTGACATCTCATAGGAAAACTTTCATAATGTCACAAAAAACTATAGGTATATTGCCAAAAAACCGACATACATTTCAAAATAACGTAATACCCCTGCCGCACTCGCTGGCTCTGCTTTCTCTGGTATTCCATTTTTGCCTACAAGTATATTTCGCCAATCGCGGTACTACCACTATTACGTCGCAGAAAAACTAAGTGACAGTCATCTACGGTCAACCAGATAGGCGTCGCCAACCACCATAGACGTCTCGTCATACAGGGGAGCACTAAACATGCACGTACATCGAGGAGAAGGTACGCGAAGAGAATCGCAGGGACATTTGTCACCTGTACGTATGAAACGTGCCATGCATATGCACTATAGATCGACTACGTACAAGAAACTCTCTAAGAGCGAATTGGCACTAGGTCTTAATAACAGAAGTCGCCTGTTGTGTTTGACAATGGGTTCTGAAGTAAGGAGTTGCAGGACGCTGTATAAAAATGATACCAAGGATTTGTGCAGAATGAAGCGCCAAAAGAAACAATAGATCAATAGATAGCAATAGATAGCAGGTTAGGTTTTAAAAAGGGCGGCGCGGGTATCATGCAAAAAACCTACAAAACGTCAAAAAAACCTATAAGATGACAACCTCCAGACTAGGTAGTTTTTTTGGGGCGCAAGCAGTCATTCCACATTTGCTCACTAGGATCGTTGTGAACGTCCATCTATGAGGGAATCACTCAACTAAGCTATACACGCGTTATTGGTTGTATAGTTTTGTGAGGCCAAATGGTCCGTGTCTGTAGTTTTTATCTCTGAGAAGAAAGTTGGTTGAATAGCAAGATCGCATCTGGTTGATTATGTGTATTGGTCTGCATGTGTATAAAATCAGAGTGATATTTGCTGTGTGAGGAAATCATTACTGAATATGCTGCCAATGAAGTATATCTATCGGCTGTGCCCGACGGGTTATTCTTATGTTGTGCTTTCTGGAGAGAGGTTATGTTCAAAGTTATAAATTACGAAAAACTGAGGAGAATTACGGGAAATGATCACCGCACCCTCGTTCTGTGTAATTACTGTTAGCATGTATGTGGCTTGTCATTTGAGAATGTACAGTGTATAATTATTTCTTATCTCTCTCATTTCTGAAATTCAGCAAATTTGAATATGTAATTTCCAGACTGGATATAAAAAGGTGGATGTGCAACTAATGTCTAGCTTTGAATCTCAATTAAGTGTATTTGATACAAGAACCCAATGTAATTAACATCAACACATACAACTTACAGCTCAGACCTCCAGTAATGCCATCTCGGAAGCAGATTTTACATCACATCAGAGCCAAAGATTGATAACAAGCCTCATGACGTTAAGGCAATACATACAACTAAGTGCTAAGTTAATATCTTGTAGAAAAACCTACACAATGTCAAAAATAAACCAGCATAATGCCAAAAAAATCGGCATCATGTTACTTTTCAAGATACGTGATACCCGTGCGGGACTTTTGGAATGATCAACATATACAGTGGGTGTTCATAAAAAAAATTGCTAAAGTTCAACGGGTGATTTCTTGAGTAACTTTGAGAAAAGCAGTTCATATGAACGTGGGTTCGAAAATCCTTCGCTTTCATGATACATGGTTACAAGCTTTGTTTCAAAGTCCTGTTTTTCATACAAGTTCAACCCTTGCTAACATTTATTTATATTCAGATGGTATTGACGGCAATGTCTGCACATATGCGGGGTGTCCCAAAAAGTCATGAATCAAACGAAAGGAAGTAATAGGGGATAATTTCCAACGAGAAAAGAAATTACGGATGTTTCAAATGTGTACTTTGTACTACTGTGTAAGCATTTTTGCGTTTGCAGTTGTTTGACGTACTTGTTCCATGTTTGGGAATAGAACAAAGCAATTCTTCTCTTACGTCAACAGTGCACTTTTCTTTCCGTGCTCTAAGCCTTGGGAATAACAGTGTTGTCACTTGTCGTTCTCATGATTCGTTGTTTTTTGAGTTCATTTGATTATCAAGAAGTGCTCAAAATTGGCAGAATATATATTTTTTCACGATAAATGGGCAATTTTGCATTCATAGCGTTTATTATAATGAGTTGTCGCAGAAAACATGATTGATAAATAATTAGTCGGCTGTCATCAGGTGTCATCACATGACTGTGAAATAACTTAGGCGTTCAAAAAGTAAAGTTTCACAAAGAAAATCTACATTCCATTACTGTGTACGGTATTACATTACCAAATGATTTACGAACGCAACTAGCATCAACTTTATTTTTTCTTAAGGCGCCATATTGGTTTTTTGGGCAGGAAAATAGAGTGTTGTCATTTATATGTCATTGCCAAACCGCAGCTTAAAAACAAACAATTTCCTAAGCATACTTGATTCATAACTTTCGTGTTCGTGAATCGTTGTTTTTTACATATCTAGATGCAGTGCTGTTCCATTAAAATTCACAAAGACATACTTACTAGGGTAAATACTGGAACCACTTGTAAAAGAGTATTTGGTTTCAGTAGACCAAATCATGCTAATTCCAAATTAGCATTTTTTGATTTTAAACGCATCGATCAAGGTTAAATCGCGAAATTGTAACACCTACATGAAAGTACGCAATTTGAATTGCGGGAAGTGAGGGTGACAGAATATTCAGGCACCACAAAAGACGCGTTCTTTCATGCGCTTACACAAATTTTTATTCTCTTTTCATGGAAATATGATACAATTTGTATGTAGCAATACAAAGAGTATTCGGGTATTCGTATACCAAATACATATGCAGATATTTGTTGCTATTTGCGGTGGAAGTCAGAAATGAAGCACACCAGAGGTGTGTAAATTTTTATAATTTTCAAGCCTATGCCTCAATCTTAATGGCTATCTGAATTTCATCATACGTTCCTCTTAGGGCACGTTATTTTACACAATTTCGGTAGTTTATTTCGTCAATCTGCCAGTTTGCTTGAGATTTCTTTAGTGGAGCAGTGAAATCCCAAATACCGTATATTCACACAAATACCAAATTTTATTATAAATACTGATGAATCACAGAAAATGCTGATTGTGTGACATTCGCCTGTTAGTTTATGTAATGGCTGATGCAGTGGTTCATATTATAGTTCCTATAGTATGGTTGCTATAACGGTTGATATAATTGTTCATTTAATATTTATCACCTTAGTGGTTGATATACCGGTTGGTATAATAGTTAGGTAAATGCTTTTAATTTGTAGATCATGCCTCTAGCCAATACGATGAAAACTCCACAGCATTTGGTTAGCACATTTGGTCTCTTCAATATTGGAATGACCATCATCACCTTTCTAAATGGATTTACTGGATTCTTTGGCTACTGGCGGTATGGCAGTGAGGTGGAAGGGTCTATAACACTTAATTTACCACAGGAAAAAATGTAAGTTCACAGATGAGTCGTTGTTTAGAAATACAAAATTTGCCTATATAGAAGGTCTGCGAAAGAGATTAGATAAGATGCTTATCTAATAGAGAAAATGACAAGTAGGTTGATTCTGCACTTCCCATACAATGTTGTGATCTGTTCATAAGCGATTATATTCAGCACAATTTAGAAAAAGTAGCTAAGATCATGTATAACAGAATTAACAGATTAAATGGTGAAGTCAGCCAAACAAGCTCATACAATCTACTATTGACTAATAGTCCCCACCCATTTGACAATGTTCTAAAAATAGATATTGAGAACGATGAGCTCTTCAAACAGTTGAATATATCTACAGATGCCTTGTCTATATTAAATAAAATTTGAGTTCTTTCTGAATAAATAGGAGATCTCCTCACTGTTATGAATTATGTCAGACAGAAGATGTACTTACCCCAACACAGACTGTCTTTAACTTCAAAACAGCACAATTCTATGACTATAAAATTGCACAAGTGATATAGTAGTATAGTAGTAATTTCACTAACGTTCTCTTTTGTAACCGTCAACGATTGCCTCATGTGATGTTATGTTAGTCATTCTGCATGGCACCTATGTTTGTTTTTATATAATATGTCGGCGTCAAACGCTGAAATCCGTCACTGAAATTGTTCAGTCATTATAGGGAATGACTGAAACGCTTGGTCAAACGTTTTAATAATCAAGCTGTTACGGTGTTTGCCGGCAACACGGCGACTAGCGACTAACTAGGCATTTCAGGGAATGACGGATTTCAGCGTTTGACGCCGACATATACAGGGTGTTTCAGTTTATTGTTGCATAACTTTAAGATTCGATAGAACTTTTAAAATTAATGCATTAAGTCTATATAAACATGGGTCGAAAAATGCGTGGGTTCCGAAATACAGGGTGTTTAAATTAACTTTTTAATATAGTTTTTTTAAATATTTCGAAAAATATTACATGTATAATAGTGAATATTGGTATACAAGGGTTTTTTGGTACGACAAAACGAACTATGGGCATAGTTTTACTGTAGCCGCTAGAGGGCGCTCTCTACTGTACCTGTATTATATTAAAATGATCGAAAAATTTTTCTTAGTGCAATTTTTTGCTTTTTGAATAAAAAAACTGATTCTTCGCACTTTTCTGCATAAAAAAGCAGTTCGATGCATTTTTTATTATTTGTGGGAAAATAATATTTTTTTTTACATTTTCGATTTGGCCATTACAAGTAAGATGATCGTTTAGATTATGTTTTTAAACACAGCAATAACTCCTAACTCCAAATGAACACAAAAAACAGAATATTAATTTGTTTAATTTTCCAATACTATTTTTAACAAATTAAATTAATTATTTACAACTAAAATGCTATTGGATAGTTAGGACAAACATACAAAATCTAAAGTAGTTGCTCGAAATGTAAACCCAATTGTTCAATACACAATTCACATCTACGAATGATCGAACGTGGTATAACATTATTCAAATAAGGCCTTATTTCATCACATGCATTCCTGATTCTGTCTATTTAGGTCAGGGGATCGTGGAGGCCAGGCGACTGGTCAGCCAGTTTCTAACTATTCTCGAATAATGACCTGGACAACCATCAAGCTGGAACCAGGCCAATCTTCTTAAATCTAACATAAAATCATCCCACACATTTGCATGTTCAGCCTTGAAAAATTCCAATAAGGTCGCAGCATTTAACCTTGCAGGCAACAGGTAGGGTCCAAATAGTCGATTACGGTAGATACCAATCCACACGTTCACACTAAATTCATGCTGAAAATTTCTTTCCCGAACTGCATGCGGATTTTCATGCGACCAAATATGTTGATTATGAAAATTTACCACTCCACGTCTAGTGAAGCATGACTCATCGGTCTATAAAACGTTACTTAAAAACTCCCTATTGTTATCAGTTCTAACAGGAATCCACTGACAAAATGTGATTCTTCGTTCTCCGTCCCCTGGCTGTAGTCCTTGCACAGGTTGCAAATGATAAGGACGTCTATGGTCATTTCTAAGAACACGATGAACATGGCTTGCTGAAATTCCCAAGGTATCAGAAACTCTTCTAACACTTGTGGTCGGATCTCTATCAAACTCATGCAGAATCATACGGGTAAATCTGCGCTGACGAACATTTATGTTTTGATCCCTTTGGAGATTTCCAAAGCCATTTTCAATTATTTTACGATGCACTCTTACAAATACTGAGGGAGTTGGATGTCGTCTGTTTGGAAATCTTCGTGCGTATTCTCTGGCTGCTTCTGCTGCGTTTCCATTTACAAAGTCATACACAAAATGAATATCCGCTAACTCTTGATTGGAGAATAAAAATGGCATTTTTATAAAACAGGCAAGAGAAACTAAATTTCGTGCATTCACAATTGCAAAAAAACGTTTCAGGTTTCAACAGACAACAAAAATAACTGTCAACTAATTGACGTTTAACCTTATTCTGCTTTCAATTTCAAAAATATTTGCAGGCACAGCCTACTTCTAAAAATTATCGAGATACTTACTTTTTAACGTTATTTTATCATAAATAATTAAAAATGCATCGAACCTAAAAAATTGAAATGTCTCAAAAACGGCTAACTATAACGAAAATTGGCAAGAGAGCTTTTTTATGTTGAAAAGTGCGAATAATCATTTTTTTTATTCGAAAATCAAAAAATTGCACTAAAAAAAAATTTTTGGTCATTTTAATACACTACAGGTACAGTAGAGAGCGCCCTCTAGCGGCTAAAGTAAAACTATGCCCATGGTTCGTTTTGTCGTACCAAAAAACCCTTGTATACCAATTTTCACTGTTATGCATCAAATATTGTTCAAAATATTTTAAAAAAACTATTTCAGAAAGTAAATTTAAACACCCTGTATTTCGGAAGCCACGCATTTTTCGAAACATGTTTATATAGACTTTATGCATTAATTTTAAAGGTTCTATCGAATCTTAAAGTTATGCAGCAATAAACTGAAACACCCTGTATACATGATATACCTGCAATTGACAATTCCAATACTACGAATTGTGTATTCATCCGGAAATAACATTATTATTATTACGTTTTTCATTTCAGAGAATGTCAAGTAGTAAATATCTTCATAGGATTGGCGGTCTTTTTTTCCATTGGCGTGCAATTCTTCGTCTGTCATGAGATTGTCTACGAACCAATCGCAGTGAGGTACGGTAGGACTCTTCTAGTGGACTATGTCATTCGAACTATCATCATTGTGACAGCTGGAGGCCTGGCAGTAGCAGCTCCGTTCATAGTACCTTTCGTCTCCATATTAGGTAACTCACATGTAACAACATTATCTACCGTAAAGTCTGGACCTAGTCATCGAAGCGGCCCGACCACTCGTCGGTATATTTGAATGAGGATTTGATAGAATGGATAATATGTTATTGTTCCGACATAGGCGTCTTGTCACTCAGTGAACAATAGTTGTGATAATGATAGGTTCTTTTGATGAAATAACTGTACTATGACTTGACAGTCAAGACTTTGGTGTAAGTGTTACGATAGAAATTTGCTCATTTTTGCAAGAATTATATGCTGTGGAGAGTCTCGACGTTAGGACACCCTGTGTGTGTAGAGGATCTGATGAGTTATGTGCCATATTAATGGTAGTTTCTTTACTCATTATGGCGTCGACAACGTTGTCACTATTTCAGAAACACGTTGTTTTAGTAGTATAGAAGATTATACACTACTAGACTATATGAGAAGAAAAAGTAACACAACGAATCATAGTCCACGATTTCTTCTATCGCTTATTTGCTTTTAATCTTTGATTCTAGGTGCTTTGTGTTTCTCTACCTTGGGCATCATGTTACCCATCGTCCTCTACAGGCTAATTCACTGGGAAGAAGGATTCGGCAAGATATACTGGAAGGCTATCAAGGACATATTCGTACTACTTTTTGGCTTGGCAGCTTTGATTTTCGGCACAGTCAGTGCTATAGACGATACCGTCAAAGTTTTCCAGGAAGAGTTCAGTTCTGGTAGTACTACAACCGTTGCACCTTGATTTAGTTTCTATTTATAGAAAAGACCTTTAAAATATTTTTACATTAATCTTTATTTATTATTATACACTTGTCGCATATATTAAGGGATTTTTCCACAATCTTAATTTATTAGCACATATTTTACAAAGACTGTCTACCTTTTTGTAATATACATATAATTTCGATTTTAACATTACTGATTTTTATTGACAATGAACCAAATTCGGATTGAAATGTTAAGGAAAGTTCTTGTAAAGTGATGTTCTTTTTGCAAGTGAAGTGCAACTGTCCAAGCCAACAAATTCAAGGGAAGGATTTTTTTGTCTTTAAACTCTCAGTGTCTAGTCAAAAAGAAAATTCATATTTTTTTAATTACGCGTAGAGTGAATTTTTTGACGGTTTGTCATTAAATTCGTATTTTTCTGCGAAGACAAAAGTGCGTGAGTTCGATACAATTTTATATTCCAGACCGTTGCTGAAAATGTTAGAGGTTTCTGTGAATTGCAAAAATCATTTTGAACAGAATAGGGGCAAATCTTTTTATCGACGAGTGTTATCAACGTTGCGAAAGGGCATGTACCTCAATATTGGGCACTTGTCTGGACAGTTGTGAGTGTGGTTGACTTATTTCATTTCACTTGTTGTGTAATTGAGTACTCAGTCCCAATCTAAGATTTGTTAACAAAAACTGTATTCTTCAAACCATTGAAAAATGCAAAATATTGGAGACAAGCCAAATAAACTATGAATATAAAATTAATTAAAACATTTAGAAAAACCGAGTAGAATTCATGCAAGAGCTCCCACTATTTCCAGTACCAGGTACTCCGCCACTGTTGCTGTTTAATTGTTTACCTCTCAAAATCAAAAGTAAAATTGTTCATATGATGTCCCGTTAATGAATATTTACTATCGTTAGACAAAAGTATGCACTAAAACTATACAATTTTTCGCAATGTATTGTTTGCATACAGGCTTGGCTCCTAATCTATTCGAATTAGTTTGTACTTTTAGTATTATTTTTCAAAAGTGCGACTGTTTGCAGATGAATGTGGTGTTAGATGTTGTCACTTTGGTAGGCAACGGGTAGTCAAATGAGTACGCAGCACGCAGTAAAACTAAGCAATTTTGACGACAAACAATGCAATATAGTCTTGGCTCCTAATCTCTTTGAATTTTTCGGTCCAACCAGATGAGGATATCAAGCCACTGGATGTCTGGCTCACAGCTCAAACAAGAACAGCTGAGCTTACATTGATCAGAACATAACCTCAATAAATAATTTTTTTAATTATAATTGTAAGCAAAGTTAAAAATCTTACAATTTAAGTAAGTTGGATTTTCCACATAAATTTAAACCTAACCCAAAAGCTGCAAGTGAGGGCAAATCTTACTCAGCTCAGGTTGATCTATTGCTAATGCAGGTCAGGTAAAATCTCAATTCGCTTAAAGCAATAAGCTAAGCAAACTGAAGTGAGGTGAGCGTATCTGGGATTTTGTGCAAAACGTGAGCAACTTATATGAAGTCAAATTATTGCAACCTGAACTAGAAGAATCTATATTTTATTATGAAATATAACGGGTGTTTCAAATTCGGCTCTGGGAGCTTGGAAACGGTAAGAGGTTCGAAGTCGAATGGAAGTAAAGTTACACATTCAGGTAACTAAGAGAATTTGACTTGGAGAGTTTCGCAATTCAAAGTATTTCCGGAGACAAAGGAAAGCGAATTTTCTCAAAACTCTTTCCTGGCTTTAATTGAGATGAGATTTCAAAATAAAAAATGATATAATTAGAATTTTCAGTATGACGTTTGGTCTCCTGTCCTGACTCGGTAACTTTATTTTTTCTTCTAGACGCCATATTGGATATTAGGGTGATTAGGGTTCTTAATCATGATTCCAAAATTGTATAGTATATCATTCGTTGACATTGCTAAGCCTTAGCTTCATAAAAAAAGGGGCAGAATTCTCTAAGAAGGCCTTGAAATTATCAGATTGACAACTGTTTCATAATATCATCAGCCAAGCATTCCTTCATTTTCTATGAACTAGGTATTATAAAAATTCAAATTTCATGTTTTCATGTTATTGAAGGGTCGTACTGAAAACATTAAATATAGTCTGATCTTATGTAACCTATAGAAACATTGTGGAGTGAGTAAAAGCATCGAAGATTTTGCAACTTCCTAAACACTCTCATTACCATCATATCAAAATCGATGCACACATCTTGCACTGAGATACCATTAATCTGTGGCTGAGGTGTCACGCAGTAATGTCTGTTATAGACGATAAATGGGCAAATTGTCTGAATATCCTTTAAACACGCATTTCAAAAATTAAAGCATTAGTGATGTAGTCGGATAAATATGTGATAATCTGTCATTTTCAAAGCCAACTATCTGAAACTTGTCCTGTGATTTTCTTGGCGATAGTCCCTCATGCACTAACGAAGATTACTTTTTTGATTGAAGCATCTACAATGAAGGAGAAATTTAAATACACGTGGTTTCATTGGCCAGCCAAACACGGTGTACGTAGGAAAATTCTGTTTCTATCGATTATACCGGAGATACTCGGAATTGTGAAACTTTCTATGTGCCGTTTCCTTAGTTACCTTTGCAAATTTGTCCCATTCAGTCGAATTCAAAACACCCGGTATATAGAAAATGATACTTGTCAAGCTTTCAAGGAGAAAAAAATTAGCTCTGCCAGTCAGGAGCCAAAGTCCTGCGGACCGCTCAAATAACAAACGACGAGACGAGAAGTGTCACGGTTAAATGGATATCAAAGCAACGTAGATGGATACTGGGGAATCAATATTAATGTCAAATTGACAATGACGTCACGATCGCGTTCGTCTGCTGAACGTGACAAATTATTCCAGGTACCTTATGTGGTTCTGTAATTGGTATCATTTCACCCATCATACTCTGCAGACTTATATCTGGGAAGAGGGATTTGGAAAATTGTACTGGAAGACACTTACAGACATACTTGTGTTGCTTTTTGGCATCGCAGATTTAATTTTCGGTACCTCAACCGCTGTTCAAGATGTGATCAGGATACTTGACTAGGAATTTAGTATTAATGAAGAATATCCCAGTTTCAACATCACTGGCAGTATAGAGTAGACTGGATTGTCATTAAGCTATAAGACAATATTACATATAGGAGAACATAACATAAGTCACATATAGCTCGATTCTTCTAAAATCTAAGTATAGAACTATAACTTGAACTAGAACTATTCTTTTCATCTATTTGCTAATCTCATAAAAAGTTATTTATGTGACTTTTTGGGTTTGGCTTAAATAGCTGGTGTAGCTTTTGTCAAATTCGAAAGAGTTGAGATCTTTGATACTTGGTATGCAAATATTTACAATTACTGCAGCTAAACTTTTCAACCTAACATGATTCCGTCATGTATTTTGGACTGCAGTATGGACATAGGTGTATCACAACAGAATTGCAGATCTCAGCTTCATGTCCAAATCACCAACAATTCCAAATACACCGTTTGTCTTATGCAACAACTACACATCTTCTTGATTAGATAGTTCTATTAGTACCCTAGATCAAGGTTGAAAACAAGCAGGTTTTTAAAAAAGTCTTGTTTTTTTCGGGTTGCGATCTCCAGCAGTCAAATGTACGAAGTCGTAGCGTGGTGGTTTGTTTTGTTTTTTGTGCATTAAGAATCGGCAAAAAAAGAAAGGCAATGACAGGGAGGAGAAAGGATCCCGTGTGGAAATATTTTAAGGAGACTGATGCCAAAGCTGGCTCAAAAATAAATAAAAGAGTGTTTAACCTGAAGTATGGATATAGTGCCACTGGTGGCTAGAATGCGCAAGCACTTTAAAAATTGTAAACAACTTAAACAAGGAAGTTTGTTAGAAAAACAAAATGTTCATATATCAGATAGTTCTGATACCGACAATAAGAATATTTCTACCAAGCCTGTTTCCTCAAAGTTAAGAAGCTTGGAGAATTATGAAAAAGGTACAGTTCCGTAAAAAGTAGTTAAAACTTAATTCATTCTATGTACATTTTCCATAATTTTTTATTTTAAAAATATGGCTTTAAGGATTTGTTGATTTTTTGTTAAAGAAGTATACTTTTATAGAAATTTGTTAGGTAACTCATTTAATGTCATTATACAAGTAAATACAAACATAGTCATATTATATGATTATTCTGCTGCTTGTAGTGTACAAGTATCAGGGTTCAATGCAGTTTATCAAGTTCATTCGTTGGTTAAGAAACAGATCTTTTTTCCATTAGTATTAGTTTCCTAGTTTTCTGTTTAATAAATTGATAAAAAATAAAGTATACTTTTTAGTACCTATGTGTTTAACCTATGGCCCTTTTAGTTTCGTTTTGCAAAGTTAAATCAATTTTATTCTACTTAAATAAATATAAAAAAACTTGAATAATTCACAAACGACAAAAAAACAGCTTTTAAAACATGTTTTAAACAGTTTAAAATAAAATGGTTTAAAACACCTTCATTGTTTAAAACAGTGTTTAAAACACTGTTTAAAACAGTGTTTAAAACTTTGTTTAAAACACTTGTTTTAAGTATTTTGATTAAACCATAACAACCCTGCACTACAAGCTTGACTCTGTCTTGTATTTATAAATTACTTTCTCTTCACTTCTTGTCAGTTTTCAGGAATATTTTCCTATTAAAATTCAGACACAAATTCTTCATCATTCAGTTCTGCCTCACAAACATCATTTTTATTTTCGGTTTAACTGTACCGTCAATTTTAATTTCATAACTTTCTCCTTATATTAGTTTTTCTTCATTGTTCAATTTTGCTAAAGATTTTTTATCTTCTTCAAGAGTGACTAATCACCTCTGTTTTTCTTGTATTATTTTATTTGCAATTGTTTCTATGACAGCAGGATTTAATTTTTGCGTTAAGCGATTTTTGTTTCAGTGCTACTTTTGTTCTTGTCTTTTGGCTTGACTACCAAATGCTCAACCATAGTTTTTCTCACACTTTTTGACCACAGCATATTATCTTCTACAGATTTTTTTACTTTCCATTAGCATCTATATATCACTCAATTCTGTTTAGTCTCCCCATATGCGTTTCCCTTTCCTTGAAGTTTTGAACAATAAAATCATGTTTTCTTTTTAGTCTAGTGTTTTCATTTATTAGTCCTTT